CTCGGAAGGCAGGTTGGGCAATCTACTTCTGTAGTGATACTGCCTCAGAAACCCAAGGAGGGGTCACTATGAGTCGGGGCCAACTCGACGGCACACAACAACAACAACAACAATAAGGATTTAGTACACAGGCAAACAGCAATGCTAATGTTGTTATCTAAAGTTTACAATTTTGAGATAAAAATTTCCTGTCCTGAAGAAATCTCTTTTGATGAAATGTACCCCAGTAATGAGAAAGCATGATTTGAACTCAAGGAAAAGCAACAACTGAGACTGATATAACATACCAGTATGTCCACTCAAAGCATGGAGGCCTTGTCCTCTTTGACAATCTGTGGTGTAAATGTTACAATCCCCCGCTCCAGCACTTATGAGAATAGCTCCCCCGCTTTCTGGGCCTTCCATAAATGCCAAGTCTCTAATTGTCCCATCATGCATACTAAATTCCAGATCCGGTCCTGAAACAGCAATAAGAATTAAAAAAAAAAAAAGATGCTGCTCATCTTACTTACTGTGATAATCTGTGAGTGCTAGACTGCCTCAAAACGGATCAAGAGTAATGGTGAGTGGTATGGTTTATATTTTAAGGATTGATATTATAGTCATTTCACTTAATAGAGCAAAGAACTTCAAGAAATCAAAATACTGATTTAGTTATTAACTTCCCTAAAATAGAATTATATAGAGAGCTATCTTCTTATTTTTTATCCCAAAGAGATATGTTCTAACAATATATCCATTCATATAATTCTTGTCATTATTTTAAAGTTATTTTTCTGATAACAATAATTTTCTGCGGCTTAGATACCACCTGGCTATCTATAATAAAAAGAAAAGAATAATGCTCATGAGTATAACCAAATAATTAGAATGTTTAAAAAAAAAATCTTAAGGTTATATTCTTAGATTTCATTAAAGACAATACAGATATATAGAGAGAGAGATAACATGGGGAAAGTATAAAGTTTATACTGGTCAGCTACTGCTTACATACTTGGGCCCTACCTGTTGCATTACAAGTCTCCGCATTAAAGGGCAGAACTTTGACGTATTTGTCATTGGAGCCTGTTGCTAATAACTGTCCACAGGGACTCCAAGCCACACAGTAAATGGATCCTTTGTGATGTTTATTCCTTTTAAAACGTACCACTGGTTGTTTAGGAACGTCATGTGCACTAAAAAGAAAAATTATTGAAAGATATTTCAATGTCTTGCTCGCTAAAATTAACTAGTATGGAGTTCTATATTATGGTTGTTTCTGAGGGAGCAAAAAAGTTACAGATAACAAACAGGTTAATAACAGTTTCCAAAATCATCAAAAAAATAAATTTAAAATCTAAAAACTAAAATTATTAAACATTATCATACTAATCTCATTTTAGACTAGATAGGAAATAAAATATATAACTAAAAAGAATACCCTTTTCAAATATTTTTTATGGATTTTAACTCAGAAACAGAAAAAGAAAATTTTTTAAAAAAAGCTAACAAGCTTCTAAATTCAAAAAAGTTCAATAAACATTTATTAAACATATAATATAAGCAATGTCCCTGGATGTGCAGAGAGGCACGGATGGATAAAAAACAAAAAGAGCAAGATCTCTCCAGAGTTTAAAATCTGGCAGGGGTATATGTTGTCATGACTACCACATACAGTAAGGCAAATATAAGTTACACTCCAGTACATAGTACCAGGCCTTAAAGGGCAGGGAGAATATTTATAGGAAAAGATGAAGCCAGGAGCACAACCTCAGTGAAGAGATATAATATAGTGGGGAAAGAACTGGCCAAACAGGAGGTAAACGTCTGTGGCGCTGAGGAGACAATGCTCAGGGTACTCAGGACAAAGTGGGATAGGCCTATTGGCGAGGAGATGGAGGCTTGGCTGTGCAGTCCTTGATGACATGCCATTGAGTTTAGCCTTCAATGGGCATTTTATCTATACTTTACAAAGCAGGTTAATGTTGCTGTTGAGTCAATTCAGATTAATACTATAGTGTTAAAATACTAGGAGCTCTGGTCGTGTAGAGCCTAAGGCATGTAACTGCTAACCAGAAGGCTGGCGGTTCAAACCCACCAGCCACTCCTTGGAAGGAAGATTGGGCAATCTACTTCTGTAGTAATACCACCTCGGAAACCCAAGGAGGGGTCACTATGAGTCGGATCTGACTTGACGGCAATGAGTTTGGTTTTGGTTTATTATAATACTAGGAGCCCTGGCAGTGCAGTGGTTAAGTGCTTGGCAGCTAACCAAAAGGTCAGCAGTTCAAACCCACAAGGTGCTCCACAAGAGACAGAAGTGGCAGTCTGTTTTCATAAAATTACAGCCTTGGAAACCCTATGGAGCAGTCTACTCTGTCCTATAAAGTCACTATGAGTTGGAATCAACTCAACAGCAATGGGGTCTTGGGGTCTAATTATAATACTAAACACTTATTTAGGTGTTAGGATAACATCAAGTGTATGTAATAAAGTGTACATGTGTTTGGAGATGCATGTCGAAGAATAAAAGGGTGTAATGGCATTTTATCTAGGATACTTTAAAATACATTAGCAAACAAACAAAATGGATGAATGAAGCAAATGTGACAAAAATCTTGATAACTGTTACAATGTACTAGATTACTTTTTTGTACATTTGAAAATTTTTCCAAATTAAGAAAAAAATTCAAAAGCAAGAAAGATTGACACAATCCCCGATATATGCTGCTGTGTCAGGTGCTGTCAAGTTGGCTCTGACTCAGCGACCCTGTGTACAACAGAACGAAACACTACCCTGTCCTGTGCCGACCTCACAATACTTGCTACACCTGAGCCCATCATTGCAGCCATTGTGCCAATCCATCTCACTGAAGGTCTTTCCATTTTTCATTGACCCTCCACTTTACCAAGCATGATATCCTTCTCCAGAGAATGGTCCTTTCTGACTATATGACCAAAAGGTCAAATGACGTCTGGCCATTCTCTCACTTCCAAGTAGAATTCTGGCTGTACTTCTTCCAGGACAGATTTGTTAGTTCTTTTGGCAATCCATGGTACTTTAAGTATCCTTCACCAACACCACAACTCAAAAGCATCAACTCTTCTTCAGTCTTCCTTATTCATTGTCCAGTTCTCACATGCACATGAGGCAACTGAAAATATCATGGCTTGGGTTAGGTGCACCTTAGTCTTCAAAGACAATCTTTGCTCTTCAGCACTTTAAAGAAGTCTTTTGCAGCCCAGTGCAATACATTGTCTGATGTCTTAACTGCTGCTTCCATTGGCACCAATTGTAGAAACAAGTAATATGAAATCTTTGACAACTTCAATATTTTCTCCATTTACTTGTGATGCTGCTTATTGGTCCAATTGTGAGGATTTTCGTTTTCTTTTTGAGATGTAATCCATACTGCAGACTGTAGTCTTCATCAGTAAGTGCTTCAAGTCATCCTCACTTTCAGCAAGCAAAGTTGTGTCATCTGCATATCACAGGTTGTTAATGAGTCTTCCTCCAATCCTAATGCCATGCTCTTTTTCATATAGTCTAGCTTCACAGATTATTTGTTCAGCATACAGACTGAGTAAGTATGGTGAAAGGATATACCTGAAACATTTCCTTCCTGATTTTAAACCATGCAGTATCCCCTTGTTCTGTTTGAATGACAGCCTCCTGGTCTATGTACAGGTTCCTCATGAGCACAATTAAGTGTTCTAGAATTCCCATTCTTCTCCATGTTATCCATAACTTGTTATGATCCACACAATCAAATGCTTTGGCATAGTCAATAAAACACAAGTAAACATCTTTCTGATATTCTTTGCTTTCACCCAAGATCCATCTAACATCCGCTATGATATCTCTCATTCCACATCCTCTTCTGAATCCAGCTTGCATTTCTGGGAGTACTCTGGCAATATACTGCTGCAAACATTTTTGAATCATCTTCTGTAAGATTTTACTTCCATGTGATATTAATGATATTGTTTGATAATTTCCACATTCCATGGGATCACCTTTCTTTCCAATGGGTACAAATATAGATCTCTTCCAGTCTGTTGGGTAAGTGCCTCCAGCACAGCATCCATCTGTTGAAACATCTCAATGGGTATTCCATCAGTTCCTGGAGCCTTGTTCTTTGCCAATTCCTTCAGTGCAGCTTCAACTTCTTCCTTCAATACTATTGGTTCTTGATAATATGCCACCTCCTGAAATGGATGAACATCAACCAGTTCTTTTTGGTACAGTGACTGTGTATTCCTTCCTTCTTCTTCTTCTTCTTCTTTTTAAATGTGCAAATTTACACAGTAGAATTTGTTTTACATTCAACAATTTGTGTACATTTCCTTCCATCTTCTTTTGATGGCTCCTGCATCATTCAATATTTTGGCCATAGAATCTTTCAATATTGCAACTCGAGGCTTGAATTTTTTCCTCAGTTCTTTCAGCTCAAGAAATGCTGAGCGTGTTCTTCCCTTTCGGTTTTCTAACTCCAGTCTTTGCACATTTCATTATAATAAATGACTTTGTCTTCTCAAGGTGCTCTTTGAAATCTTCTGCTCAGATCTTTTATCTTATCATTTCTTCCATTTGCTTTAGCTACTCTCCATTCAAAGGCAAGTTTCAGAGTCTCTTCTGACATCCCCTTTGTCTTTTCTTCCTTTCCTGTCTTTTTAATGATCATTTGCTTTCTTCATGGATGATGTTCTTGATGTCATCCCACAATTCTGGTTTTCAGTCACTGGTGTTCAATGTATCAAATCTATTCTTTAGATGGTCTCTAAATTCAGGAGGGTCGTATTTTGGCTCTAATGGACTTCTATTAATTGTCTTCAGCTTCAACTCAGCTCCTGGTCTTGTTTTGGCGGAAGATACTGAACTTCTCCATTGTCTCTTTTCACAGATGTAGTTGATCTCATTCCTGAGTACTCCATCTGGCAAAGTCCATGTGTATAGCCACTGTTTACATTGTTGAAAAAAGTATTTGCAATGAATAAGTCATTGGTCTTGCAAAATTCTATCATGCAATCTCCAGCATTATTTGTATCACCGAGGCCATATTTTCCAGCTAGTGATGATTCTTCTTTGTTTCCAAGTTTTGCATTCCAGTCACCAGAGGTAACACATCTTGACTGCATGTTTGGTCCATTTCAGACTGCAAAAGTCTGTACAAATCTTCAATTTCCTCATCTTTGGCTTTGGTGGTTGGTGCGTAAATTTGAATAATAGTGTATTAACTGGTCTCCTGTGTAGGGGTATGGCTATTATCCTATCACTGACAACATTGTACTTCAGGACAGATCTTGAAACATTCTTTGTGACAATGAATGCCACACCATTCCTCTTCAATTTGTCATTCCTGGCATAGTAGATCATATGGTTGTCTGATTAAAAATGACCAAAACCAGTCCATTTCAACTCACTAATGCCTAGGGTACTGATCTTTATGTGTCCCATTTCATTTTTTGACAACTTCCAATTTTTCTAGATTCATACTTCATACATTCCATGTTCTGATTATTAATGGATGTTTGGAGCTTTTTCTTCTCATCTTGAGATGTGCCCCATCAGCAAATGGAGGTCCCAAAAGCTTTACTCCATCCATAACAATAAGGTCTGCTCTACTCTGAGGAGGCAGCTCTTCCCCAGTCCTATTTTGAGTGCCTTCCACCTTGAGGGGCTCATCTTCCATATATCGGACAGTGTTTCAGGGTTATTCGTAAAGTTTTCTAGTACTGTATCAGAGAATGTTTCACTGCTATCCGTAAGATTTTCACTGGCTAGTTCTTTGAGAAGTGGGGGTCCCTTCCTTCTTCTAAGGCTGTCTTAGTCTGGAAGCTCTGCTGAAACCTGTCCACAATGGGTAACCCTGCTGGTATTTGAAATACCAGTGGCATAGCCTCCAGCCTCACAGCAAGATGCAAGACACCACAGTAGAACAAACTGACAGATGAGTGGTGGCTCCAATTCATAGAAGGTATTTAATATTAATGTAGAAAATAGATCAAATCAAAAGATTCTTTTGTCAGTTACACAATTAATTACACAAAGTCCTACTGATTCTTTCTTTAAATGAATTTTATCTCAAATCCATCCATTTTGCTCTATCTCCACTGCCATCACACCACCATCTAAATTAAACTACAGCTTCTTACCTTTTTCCTAGCCTCCACTCTTACCGTCCTCTGATCCATAGCCAATGACTTTTTAAAAATATACTTGGATCACAAAACTGTTCTACTCAAAACTTTCAGCAGCTTCCCACTATACTCAGGATAAAATAAAAAATGGCTATGACAGTCTGCATAATTTAGTTCATGTCTATCTCTGTAGCCTTACCATACCCAGACCATAAGGCTTTAGCCACTCTGAATTTATTTTACTTCTTCAAAAAGCCAAGTGCTTTGCTCCATTTGAATTACTTTCTTCTTGCTTCTCTTCACATGGCTGGGTTCTACTCATCATCAGATCTCAGCTTTAATACCTCCTCCACCAAGAAGATTTTTCCCTTACTCCTCAGTCTACATGTCCTTATTCTTCACAGAGCCTACCACAGTGTATAATCTATTTATTTGTGTAATGTCCATCTTTCCCACTAAACCAGAATTTCCCTGAAGTCAATAGCCTGTTTATTTTATTACAATTATCCTGGAAGTCTAGCATACAACCTAGAGCATAGAAGGAACTCAAAATATATTTGTTAAACAAATTTATTTTCATAAAATCACTTTGTTCACAATCTATGAAATAGCTGTGACAGCATTAAGAAACACAAAAAAGGAGAATCAGTTCACTTAATATCAGGTTAACTCTAAACATACAACTCCTGTAATTATTGCTATTTTCTACTTCCTGACTGAGAATTCTGCCTATTCTCTCATGTATTTCTACTTAACTAATATACAAGCACCAATAAATTATAATATTACCATCTAACACGAGCCTATTCCTTTTCTCAACCTTCAAATGGTATAGCGGTACAAAAAACAAAATTTTTGGTTTCAGATATAATGATTAAAAAAAAAAAAACTAACTACTTTCAAATTGATTCGGACTCATAGCAACCCTACAGCACAGAGCAGAACTGCCTCATAAGGTTCCCAAGACTAAATCTTTATGCAATCAGACTGCCTCATCTTTCTCCCAAGGAGAGGCTGGTGGGTTTAAACAACTATTTGGGTAGTAGCCAAATGCCTCAACCATTACACCACCAGAGCTCCTTAGATGCAGTGATACACTGCCACACAATGATAGACCTCCCAAAAATGCAAATATATAAATAAACAATCCCAACACTCTTCCCCAAACTAGGGGTATGATTTTAGAAAAATAGTCTTAAGAGTTGTTTAAAAATTTTTTCCAACACATATTATGATGCATAATTAATTACTTCACATAATTAATTTATTTTTAATTTGTATCTTCTTTTATTTGGATGAAAATTCTCCCATTCCTGGCACTCATTTTCCTAATCACAAAATATAGCTAATAGTTCATGATCTTTATCATGAAATTTATTTTGAAAGTAAAAACCTTAAATAAATTGACAAAAAGAGTATCTAATCAATGAGTAAAGAGCTCAAATCCAGTTTTTGTTGGCTTACATCTATGCTGTTTACTTTTTTAGAAAATTTAAGGAATTAGATGTACTCTTAATAAATACCCATTTTTAATGAGGAGAGTGAATTTCTCTCCCTTATTTTCAAATTCCATAATCTGTTCAAATAAGAGGGTAGAAGCATTGTTAGGTTGACCAAATAAAATTGTGATTGCTGTAACTAAAAATGGTCAAATATCAAAACATCATCTAATAGTTCTCTAAAACTATTCTAAGAAATTTTTATTTCTCAAAGTCTGTAACTAACATTACTTTGTTTTTATCTTATATAATCTATCTGGAATGAAAGGAACTCTCAGAGGAAAAACAAAAAAAAACACACCCATGTTATAGAATAAGGAAAACTACAATATTAAATGAGAAATGACCTAACCAAACACATATTATGAAAAAATTGATGAAGTCAATGATGTTTAAGTATATTTCCTAAGCATTGAGAGTGCAAATACAAATTAAAAATTTTATGAAAGGAAAGAAATAAGAACTGAAACACTGGATGGCAATTCTGAAAAAGGGATCAATATTGGTAAATTAGGAGCCCTGGTGGCACAGTGGTAAAGGGCTTGGCTGCTAACCCGAAAGGTCTGCAAGTTCAAACCGATCAGCTGCTCTGCGGGAAAAAGATAGGACAGTCTGCTTCTATAAAGATTACAGCCTTGGAAACCCTGTGGGGCAGTTCTATCCTGTCCTATACTGTTGCTATGAGTCAGAATTGACTCAACAGCAACAGGTTTTAGATACCTGAATTAAAAACAAAGGCATATATATATTCTTACCTTGGATCAATTACTTCAGGATAGGCACACACTCTTAGGGTTTTTGAATTTGAGCCGACAGCATATAAACCACCACCTGGATGAAAAGCCACTGCTCTAACAGCTTGTGTGTCTTCTAGAGTATTAATACAAACAAACTGCTTTTTTGATTTGTCATCCTATGAAAAAAATAAATATGAAAGCCATCTTATGAAAAGAATGAATTTGAAAGAATTCATCTTTATCCCATTTCGAATTCATTTGACTGTACTATTCCTGTTTGAACTTTATGTTCATTACTAACAATCTTTTAATTCTTTTAAGTGGCAAATCCAAAGTAACTCCAATTTTTCTATTTGTTGTTACTCATTGCTAAACTAAACTCAAACAGTTCATAGACAATTTTAAGTTTTTCATCTATGACAAAATATAAAAATACGCATTATCATATTAAGTTCTCTTCTAGCTGTTAAGGAAATAAAATAGCCCACATATATAGATGTTATAACAAAAACATAAACAAGAAACATTTGTGTTTCTAAAAGCAGGAAGTAAAAAGGACTGTTATTTAATCTATTTAGTACAAAAAGAAAAAGTTTACCATTATCTCCAGCAACTAATATTTCAGCATCTCAAACTGAAGTTTAAACCAAAACCAAACACGCTGCTGTCGAGCCAGATCTGATGCATAGCGACCCCTCCTTGGGTTTCTGAGGCAGTATCACTACAGAAATAGATTGCCCAATCTTCTTTCCATGGAGTGGCTAGGGGATTTGAACCACCACTCTTCTGGTTAGCAATCAAATGCCTTAGGCACTATGCTACCAGAGTTCCCAAAAGTACCCCTTTAAACTGCAAAAATGAACGTTTAATTTGAGCTTCATTTTTATTTTAAACTATGAACCTGTCTGTCCATAGCCTTCTGCTGACGAAGGCAAACTGAAGCAGTTCTATATAAAAGTTCTGGTGACTCCTGCTACTGGTGCCATGTGACAAGAGTTTGGAACTGGTTCGTTCCAGTTTGGCCTCCTGCTGAGAATCTGTTTTTTTTCACCCCAGATATACTGAATCAGAGGAACTCTGGTAGCATATTGCCTAAGGCACTTGACTGGTCACCAGAAGGCTGGTGGTTCAAACCCACCAGCCACTCCTCGGAAGGAAGGTTGGGCAATCTACTTCCACCGTGATACCGCCTCAGAAACCCAAGGAGGGGTTGCTATGAGTCGGGTCTGACTTGACGGCACGTAACAACAACAACATACTGAATCAGAATCTATAGTTTAACAAATCCCCAGGTGACTCTTATGTGTAAGCCTTATAAGACTTAGGAAATCTGTAAGAATCACCTGGGGTTCTTGTTAAAATGCAGTATATCTGGGGTGGAAATGCAAATTCTCAGCAGGGGTCAAACCGGAAGGAACTGGCATGTTCAGTTCCAGACCACTGCAATAAAGTGAGTATAGCAATAAAGTGAGTCACATGGTACACGTAAAAGTTATGTTTATACTATACTGTACTCTATTAAGCGTGCAATAATATTATGAAAAAAATGTGAAATATTGTGAGAATTACCAAAATGTGCCACAGAGACATGAAGTGAGAACATCCTGTTGGAAAAATGGTACCAACAGACTTCCTCAGCACAGGGTTGCCACAGATTTTCAATTTGTAAAAAATGCAGTATTTGCAAAGCACAATAAAATGAGGTATGCCTGTATGTATGTCAAGATCTCACGCAAATCACTTCAGCTGTGGTTCTATTGTGAGAGCTCTAGGATCCACAGTGACTTCACCCATGAAAAACCAATACCTTTTCCTACCCAAGGTCTTAGGTAGGCACTCACACAATGCATCCTCATTGTGAGGTGGAGGGCAAACATGAAGTGTCATATTATGTTTGTCTTATGGAACTGAATTGAATTCTTTTGTTATTTGTATGAATTTATTGACCAGAAATGTTATATTTTCCACTAATCCATATACAAGGAATGTGGCTGCCAAACAAACAGCATAGGCTAGATAAAAGGAAAAGGGCTTACAACACATAAATGATTGCTAACAATTGGTTTAAGGCAGAAATGGCAGAGCCACACAGATTTATTTTATTTGCTCCCCTCTAATGAGTTTTCCTTTTTTTTTACTTTTTTGCTATTTTTAAATTTCACATTAAAATTTATTTTCTAGCTTTTCTTAAAACCTAAATAACAGGAAAACTGAGCCTACATATTTCTTTGTGCAAGGGACAAATATTCCTATGTGCTTATCATGAAAATAGCTGACTTTATTCATTACTGTCATCTGTCCGGACCGTGTAAGCATTTGAGATAATGTTCCCATTTGAGGGGTTAAAATACATACTAGGGAAAATAAGACAGAGGAAGCTGTATGCTAATTAGGTTAGGATATCTGGTTCCAAAGCAAAAATATGTATTGATAAGAAACCCAAAGGGGATATCAATAATAGGTGAACAAATTAGCAATAGGGTTCAGAAAGCAGTACACAACCCCAACTCATGTGCCAAGGTCACTACTAGGCCATTAATATAAATATTCCCAAATGTGCTTTTGGAGCAGCTCCTTCCCTTAGCCCAGTGAGAGTTCAAGTATCTTGAGATGAATACCAGCATTAACAATAATGCTTATTTCTAAAAATGGTTCTTTCGTTAAATTGAGAATTTCTTAGTGAAATTTTCAAGTATATATAAAAACAATGAAACATCCTTTCCCAAAGTATTACCTCTTCCCCTCTTGACCTTGAAAGCTTCCCTGAAGAATCTCCAAGAGGTGGTTTAATGACCGAATGTTCTGATGAGCTGTGTGGGTAGAAATTCAAATAAAGTTTACTCTGAATATCAAAACAGAAATTAATTTATCATGTCAGTCTCAATTTTTCATTCATTCACTTAGTGGCAAATAACCTCACTAACCTTAGGCAAAGTTTACTCTCTAGAGAGATTTATTAAGAGCCTACGGACTCAGTGACATCAGACATAGTTGTAAGGAAGGGATAAGAAGCCATTTGGGAAAGGAGATTAAATCAAAGTCCACATATTCTGTAGTGTACCCTTCTTCCCCTGCTTAGTTTCAGAATCCTTGTTGCATGAACCTGGAGAATTCTCTCTAGAAAAACTATCTGGCCCAAGAGAAAAGATTAACAGATAATGACAGTTGAGGGTCTCTCAAATCACTTTTTTGTGAGCCAATCAGGGACAATCCACCCACCTACACAGATTTTCCTTCCAATTAGCTTTTTAAAAATGTTTCACCCTTTCCAGGCAGCCAAAGATTTCCAAATACTTTAAGAAAACCTCCTAGGTAAAAGAGGCTAAAAGCGAGCTTGGAAGAAGAGCGGCAACTCACAGAACAAAAGCAATCTACAAAAATATAAGTAAGATACTTAGAGATAGAAAAGAAAATAATGAATCTACCTAAAAATAAGTTCCCCAAAGGGCAGGGAGGGGTTAGAGAAAAATAAAAAGTTCTTAGAAAATAAAAATGGGTAGCAGAATAACAATTAACCAACAGAAAATGTTGTTGTTGTTGTTGTTGTTGTTATGTGCCGTCGGAGTCGGACCCAACTCATAGTGACCCCTCCTTGGGCTTCCAAGGCAGTATCACTATGGAAGTATACTGCCCAACCTTCCTTCGGAGGAGTGGCTAGTGGGTTTGAACTGCTAGCCTTCTGGTTAGCAGTCAAGTGCCTTAGGCACTACACTACCAGAGCTCCTGCAACAGAAAATAGAGGTGAGGAAATTACTAAATAATACAGAATGAAGGAAAGAAAGAACTACTCTGAAGTGTATCAAGGTATTTTAGAACATCAGGGAAAAGAACTCTTTAAAAAATTCAGAGCTCTGGTAGCATAGTGCCTAAGGTACTTGACTGCTAACCAGAAGGCTGGCGGTTCAAACCCACCAGCCACTCCTCGGAAGGAAGGTTGGGCAATCCTACTTCCGTAGTGATACTGCCTCGGAAACCCAAGGAGGGGTCACTATGAGTCGGGGCTGACTCGACGGCAAATAACAACAACAACAACAACAAAATTCAGAAGTGGAAAAAGCCACAGGTCTCATACAAAGGATCAGAAATAAAAGTGGCATCACATTTCTTTGTGGGAACTTTGAAACTAGAAGATCATGTAGAAATGTCTTTGAAACTCAGAGGAATGATGTTTATCCTGGCATTCTAAACACAGCTGCACTAACAGATCAAGTGTAATAAACACATTTTTATAGACATGCAAAATCTCAGAAACGTCATTTCAAATGTGCCCCTGAAACTATATGGAATCCTGAAAACAGGGAGTCCAACATAGGAAAGAGACAAAGAAAATCCCCAAGAGGATGATGAAAACAAGTCCCAGAACTCTCTAGGACTGTATAAAATGGTCTAGAAACAATGACTCTAGAGAAAAGCAAGAGTGATCCTGAAGGAATCCCCCAAAAAAAGATGAAATAGAGAAATTACCTGATACGATTGACCGTGATGAGTAATTTTATGATTTACAGCTATATTAAAGTATCTGCAGAGAGTTTGTAGATGGGTGATAGTACAAGAAGACTAAGCATGCATGTGCACACACATTCACACCAAAATGAGGCAATTACTTTCTGCTGGAAAACCAGAAAGTTGTATGAAAGGGAAATGTAATATTATACTACATGAACCAGGGAAGCAAGGCCTGGTAATCTGATTCCATAAAGACTACAGCCAAGAAAATGCTATAAAGCAGTTCTACAGTGTAACACAAGGGTTTGTTATGAGTCAGAACCAATTCAACAGCAACAGGTTTGGTTTTTTGGTTTTATATGTATATTACTTTAATAAAAACTAAAAATTAAATTAAAATGTTTAAGTTTTTTAGCTTTGGGATATACACAAAAAAAGTGTTATAGAACTATGAGAAAGAAGTAGATATTAGATAAATATGCTCTAAATAAAACTAGAGTTTCTTGATACAAATTATTTGTAAGGTTAATAAGCATCCAAGTGCTAAAAGCAAGTTATGTATTTTTAGGCATGCATTTGTTTATGGACTCATTTGAAGAAACTCCGTACACTCCTAAGTCAGGCTGGCTATAATCTTTACAGAAGCCCATCACCAGACCTGAATGTCCCACAGTACCACTGGAGGGGTTCAAAGAGGCAAACTCTGAGTTACTAGCTGAGTGTAGACTGTCTGTGCCACCCAGGAACTTTAAGTTACATATTTTTTTAATGTACCACCTCAAAGATGTTTTATTTTTTAAAATAATAATTTACTGAGTTTTTGGTGAAAGTTTACACAGCAAATAGGTTTACATTTGACAATTTCCACACAAAGTATTCAGTGACGTTGTTGTTTGTAGGTGTCATTCAGTCTATTTTGATTCATAGCGACCCTACGTACAAACGAATGAACCACCACTCAGTCCTGTGTCATTCTTAAAATCATTGCTATGTTAGAGCCCATTTTGTGGCCACTGTGCTAATCCATCTTGTTAAGGGTCTTCCTCTTTTTTTGCTGACCCTCTACTTTACCAAGCATGATGTCCTTCTTCAGGGACTGATCCCTGGAAAACATGTTCAAAGTGAAACGAAGTCTTGGCAATCTCGCTTTTGAGGAGCATTCTGACTGTACTCCTTCCAAGACAGATCTGTCTGTTCTTCTGGCAGTCCATTGTATATTCAGTATTCTTTGTCAGCACTATAATTCAAAGGCATCGATCCTTCCTTGGTCTTTCTTATACATTGTCCAGCTTCTGCATGAATATAAGGCAATTCAAACATTATGGCTTTGGTTAGGCACATTTTAGTCCTCAAAGTGACCTCTTTGCTTTTTAACACTTTAAAAATGTCTTTTGCAGCAGATTTTCCCAACGCAATACTTGTCTTCCTCCAATCCTGATGCTCTATTTTCCTTCATGTATTCCAGCTTCTCAGATTATTTGCTAAGCATACATATTGAATAAGTATGGTGAAAGGATACAACCTTGATGCACACCTTTCCTGATTTTAAAACATGCAGTATTCCCTTGTTTTGTTCAAATGACTGCCTCCTGGCTCATGTATAGGTTCTGCATGGACACAATTAAGCATTTTGGAATTCCCATTCTTCACAATGTTATCCATAATTTGTTATGATCCACACAGTTAAATGCCTTTGCATAGTCAATAAAATACAGGTAAATATGTGTCTGGTATTCTCTGTTTTCAGCCAAGATCCATCTGGCATGAGCAATGATATCCCTCATTGCACATCCTCTTCTGAACCCAGCTTGAATTTCTGGCAGTTCCCTGTCAATGTACTGCTGTTTTTGTTTTTGAATTATCTTCAGCAAAACTTTAACTGCGTGTGGTATTTATGATACTGTTTAATAATTTCCACATTCTATTGGATCACCTTTCTTTGTAATGGGAACAAATACGAATCTCTTCCAGTCAATCAACCAGGTAACTGTCTTCCAAACTTCTTGGCATGTATGACTGAGAGCTTCCAGCGTTGCATCCATTTGTGGAAACATCTCAGTTGGTATTCTGTCAATTCCTGGAGCATTGTTCATCACTAATGCCTTCAGTGCAGTTTGGACTTCCTCCTTCAATTTGTGTCATTATTTACATTTATCACAAGGTGTTAACATTCTCTTTAATTGTGTTCAATTTGTTTTCTTCCCAGTATTCTAGTTTCCATGCCCCCTTATCTTTTCACCTTGCTTTTGAGTAATTCTGGACCTTTGGGTCTCACTCTGATAGTTTTTAAGTAGGACACTGATAAGGTAATATCCTTTATTTTGTGTACCACTCTGCTATTTTGCTAAAAGGTGATCTCAGGGGGTAGGCTCAGTTCTAGGTTTAAAGAGTACCTCAGGGTGATAGTCTCAGGGAATCCTCTGTTCTCTACTTGTGGCAGTTTGTCTGGCTTTTTTAAAATTAGAATTTGAGTTTCTAATCCTTATTTTTCTCTCATTCTGTCTAGGATCAACTATTGTAAGCTTTGTCAGAATTGTGTGTGGTGATAGCCACTAAAAAAAAAAAAAAACATCTAATTCTTCTGGCCTCAGGGTAGAAAATGCTGTGGCTCTTGCAGAATTGTTTCTCCTCTGTGCTTTTGGTTACCTTCTTACTGTTTTGCTCCTGGCAAGTGGAGCCAAGTAGTCTCAGATGGCCACTCCCAAGCTTTTAAGACCTCAGACACTACTCATTTCACTAGGATACTGATCATGATTTTTGTGAATTGTTGTTATTGTTGTTAGGTGCCACAGAGTCATCTCCAACTCATAGCAACCTTATGTACAACAGAACTAAACAATGCCCAGTCCTGTGTGCAATGAAAACCTTATGAATAGCAGTGAAACACTCTCATATATTACTGGAAAATTTTATGAATAGCCCTGAAACATTGTCCAATACAGTGCCGGAAGATGAGCCCCTCAGGTCGGAAGGCACTCAAAATATGACTGGAGAAGAGCTGCCTCCTCAGGGTAGAGCCGACCTTAATAATGTGGATAGGGTAAAACTTTCAGGACCCCCATTTGCTGATGCGGCACATCTCAAGATGAGAAGAAAAAGCTGCAAACATCCATTAATAGTCGAAACATGGAATGTATGAAGTATGAATCTAGGAAACTTGGAAGTTGTCAAAAATGAAATGGAACACATAAAGATTAATATCCTAAGCATTAATGAGCTGAAATGGACTGATTTTGGACATTTTTAATCAGACAACCATATGATCTACTATGCCAGGAATGACAGATTGAAGAGGAATGGCATGGCATTCGTCATCACAAACAATGTTTCAAGATCTGTTCTGAAGTACAATGCTGTCAGTGAT